GAGCACGTCTAGACTGCCTGCAGCTTTTGAAAGAAGATATACAAATTTGGCGTGAATATGCATATCTTCTTCAATCCTGTTTTCGGAAGAGGTTTAAAAAAAAGCAGTCTGGACACAGTTTTTTCAGGAAAAAAAACCCTTTTTCGAAAGAACCCTTCTTCCTAAAAAAAATGAGGTGCACAGGGTTTTTTCAAAAAAGGGTTTGTTTGTTTTTCAAAATAACTGCATTTAGACTGCTTTTTTTTAAACCTCTTCCGAAAACAGGATTGAAGAAGATATGCATATTCACGCCAAATTTGTATATCTTCTTTCAAAAGCTGCAGACAGTCTAGTCAGGCCCTTAGAGACCTTGGATATCTTTATTCCTCAGAACATGTGAGGAAGTCTTCAGTTGCCACTTAGGCATGGAGATCTTCTCTCCCCTCTGTGCTGACTTCCATGGAGATGAACCTGAGAGCTCAATGCATTGACACAGTGCATTGTCTTCATATTTAGTGAATTCCAGCAATCCAACCTGGAAGCAACAAATGTATGGATCATTATGGCCAGGTTCTTACTGGGGAGAAAAAGATGACATTTCATAGCAAGCTGGAAGTGAAAGAAGGTATTTTTAGAAACTGGTGCTATCCAAATGTAGTGAAAAGTCAAACAAGAATCCAAGGGTTTGAACCACTTAGACTAATGGGGGCCACATCGAAGAACTAATTTCTTGCAGGCATTGTGACATTTTAGTAATGGTGTTCACACTGGCTGATAAATACAGTTGAGTGTTGTCAGCATCCTTTTGGCAGATGAACCCACAAAATGTCATTCTCTCCTCCAGTGGCCTTATGTAGATACTAAAAATAAGCAGGAATAGTATGGGTCCCTGCAAGACGAGAATACTAGTCTGAGTTCTATTGGAGAGGAGTAGTTGGATCCACTGTAGTGCTGGGCTGTCTACTCCTCTTTTGTCCTGTAGATATGTGAATACCTTTTGGTGCATATCTTTTTAGTGCCACGAGAGTGGTCTCTGCTGTGCCTTGATCTGAATCCTGTTTGTGAGGCCTTCAGGGTGTTGGCTGGTGTTGCATGTTGCTGAAGTTTCACAATTATTTTGCCCAGGGGTCGGATGCTTGGCCTAAAACTGGACAAACCAGAGTTAGAAAAATATTAATCCTGCGCTCCTGTCTCAAACAAATAGTGAGTGAATAGCAGCAATATTCATGCAATGCTTCAAATTTTCTGTTCCACTTACCCAGCCCTACTATTAGACCACTTTGATTTGATATGTTTCCACACATCTGTTACATGACTGGAATAATTTGGTATACCATTACTTTAATTTCCATTCTGTTCCATCACGTTAAATTGGAGGGTCTTTTTCTTCATACACAGTTATATGATGGCAGCCATGGTTCACTGTCTGTGATGACTACCAGATGGTGCATAATCATAATTTAAAGGTATCTTGATCCTAATACATGCAAACAAGAAAGAAGGCCAAAACTGGAAGCACTCCAAAAAGAGAAGAAGACATCTGTCTTACATCATAGTCTGTGCATCATTGCAGAATGTTTACCTGGTGGTTCTTCACACCTAACTAGTGATACATTTTTGTATTCTGCTTTATTGATGTATACTTCTTGTTTATCATTCACACTTTGATTTTGGTAAAGATTCTAATTAAAAAGTATCCTTATACAGATTTTAGGAATAGAGAGTGCCATCATGATCATCTAGTGCCATCATGATCATCCAACATCCTGACCGTGAAGAGTTTATCTAGATTTAAGAGGTTTCTATTTTTAAAAATGTTGGCTTTAAAAAAGAGACCCCTAAAATTATGCTCCAAAATTCTTACAAGGCACCTAAATTTTGGTCTGATTTTTCAAAAATGCTGAGTTCTCAGCAATAGCCATTCAATAGGATCTGTCAGTACACCACACCTCAAAAATCAGACCATTGCTAACTAATCATCATAACACTCGAGGCATGTCTATACTAGAGAGAAGATTGACCCTTCCAGCATTCGGTTTAGTGGGTCTAGTGTAGATGCCTCAAATCGAATGCTTAGGGCAGCCCTCTCCGGGGTCCTGTACTCCTCATTCTGTGAGAAATAAGGTAAGCTGATGGGAATGTGTAGATGCGGTGGCAACTCGGCTTAAGGTAAGCCCAATCCAGCTACGCATTTGGTGGCAACTCGGCTTAAGGTAAGCCGAATCCAGCTACGCATTTTGTGTACTTGGATGGTGTAGCTTAAGCTGACCTGCCTGGTCTAGTGTAGATAGGCCCCCCAGAAGTAAAAGATGAGGGAAGAAGCATGTGCTAAAGCCCACAGATAGAGTAAGAATTCAGGCGTTCAGGACTCCTATTATTATTCTCAGAGCCCTAGTTTCATGCATTGAGTGTAACACAAGCCAGCATTTATACAACTCAATTTCAGTTTGCAGTTCAAGGAAAGCTTTTTCGTTTTACAATTAAAATACTCAGACTCCACCGATAAGGCTGCAAATTTTTGTAATTCACATTCAAATGCTTGTAGATAATGATAAAGAAACAGTGCTTGCATCTATAAAAAAAGGAGGGGGAGACTGTTTTCGGAAGCAAGAGAGTGTGAACACTAAGCATCAGAAAGTGTCAAGAAAATACTTCACAGATGGAAAACAGAGATTTTTGTTGGACTGCAAATTGCATTCAGAGTCACGGAGGGCTCAGCTTCAGTAAGGTATCCAGAATAAATTATAATAAATTCTTGCAGCCCAGATTGGAAATACTCATTCAGCTTCTGCTCTATAGGAGGGGTAAGGATTCCCAAAGGGGTCAACTTGACAAAATCAGGATTTTTTTCAGTATTCTTTTTCTGTCTCTTTAAAGAATGACAAGATGCTCCAATAAGGCTGTGCAGAATTAAGCACAACTATTTATATTGAATTTAGCAATCACTGTTGTGTAGAGATTATCAAAAAATGATTTCCAGGATAAAGTTTTCATGAAAATGTTTCCTCTAATCGTGAGATTGTATGTATATGGAAGATAGCATGCTGATTTCTCTTCTAGGCAAATCTATACCAAGCAACTCTCCAAGTTATGCAGTTTGTTAGAAGAGCAAATAGATTTTGCAGTTTTAGTAGTGTGACTAGCTCTATATATACAACAATACACAGGGAAATTTTAGGCTGAATTCTCAGATGGTAAAAATCCATCTTTGACTTCAACTGAGATATATTGATTTATAATACCTGAGAATTTGGCCTTCATCTTTTTACTGACTTTGCAAATAGATAAACAAAAATTATGTTGTGCTTGATGACACGTGAAGTTTCTGTTATAGGTTGGTGAGGGAGGTTCATTTAAACTTAAATGAATAAATTCTACTTGCTGTGATTTCCATAAGCTAAGTTTTACCCTCCTGATCTGGTGAATAAGACAATTGCTGGCACATTTGAATGAAAGATCTGATATGTACTGTGTCTTGAGAAAGGACTAGGGATATGCAGTTTTGGGGCAGTTGTTTTGCTAAGTGCGGAGGCTAAAATTTTCACATCAGGGTACGTAAAGTCAGATTTCTAAATCCATGTTTAGGCATATAAATAAAAGTGGTTCGCCTTTCAAAAGTGCTAAAAATCCTCAGTTCCCACCAGTGGACTGACTGAGCAGAGCTGATTCATCACCTGTGAAGCTGTGCTGCCACATAGTTTAGAGGGAACGGTGATTCCCTTTGTAATTTGACGATCAAATCACTTACATTTGGGTGCCTGAATATGGGACTCAGGAATCTAACTTTAGGCACTAAGGGTGAGATTAGCTTGCGACGTCCAAGCTCTTTTTGTGTGCATTTTGCCTGTACAAATGTTTTAAAACATTCTTTAGACATTACCATCTGCGACAACAAATGATAGAATCTGTTACCTGAATGTGCAGGAATCTGCAGCCCCCCCAAAAAAATTCTGTCATTGGCAAGTGATAAAGTCTGTATACAAGTACAAAGAATTCTTGTTTAGCATAGAAATCATTCAGGAATGCAAATATTATTTAGTATCAGAGGGGTAGCCGTGTTAGTCTGAATCTGCAAAAGCGACGAGGAGTCCTGTGGCACCTTATAGACTAACTGAAGTGTAGGAGCATAAGCTTTCGTGGGCAAAGACCCACTTCGTCAGATGCATGTGGTGGAAATTTCCAGAGGCAGGAATCTGACGAAGTGGGTCTTTGCCCACGAAAGCTTATGCTCCTACACTTCAGTTAGTCTATAAGGTGCCACAGGACTCCTCGTCGCTTTTGCAGATTCAGACTAACACGGCTACCCCTCTGATACAGGATATTTCTGGTTAGCACTGTTACAAAAATACTCAAGTCACAGCGCCTAGTCACAATGTGGCTGCCGCCTGACCTGGTCCCCACACATTTGTGTGTGCTGGTGGATGTGGGAGTCTCTGAATTGTGTTCCTCCTTTGCAGTCAGGGACACAGTTATAACATGGTGCCACCTACATTGCACTGTGGAACTGTGGTGATTGACTGTCAGGGGCAGCTACGTTTAACCAAGTTCCTAACGTGGCTGATTTTTGCAGGGCATATTTAGGAAGCTGTCAAACTTAACATTTTAAAGGCACTGAGGGATTTGTGGGTCAAATCCTGAAGTACTGACTCAATTCTTCCTCATACAAACTTCCACTGGACCAACTTGCCTCCAGAGGAGTTACACTTGTAACTAAGGACCTGATCAAAAGTCCTTTGGAGTCAATGGGAGACTTCTGTGGACTTTGGTGCAAGACCTAAGAACAGAAATTGGCCTACAGATTTTAGTGGGAGCTTCCTTAATAAGGAATTAAGGATTTTTCCTAGTATACTAAAAACAGACAGCTCTTGCTACCATAAAAGAGGGTGATAGATATTATTTTGCAATGCAATCTGATTTTTAATGGCTACAGCCAGATGAAGCAATTTGATAATCTGAATTAATGTTCTGCTCATTATAGAATAGTATTTTAAAGAGCTATTTCTCCTCTTCACACTTAGGCAGAAGAAGAGAGAGATGATATGGAGAGAGTAAAGCTGGATAATAAAAGAATTCTCTTCAATCTCTTGCCAGCACATGTTGCACAGCACTTTCTTATGTCTAACCCAAGGAACATGGTAAGGCCATGGGGGAAGAAACAAACACATAATGATATGCATTATTCGTGTGTGACATCTGGGTCTGGAAAATCATATATTTTCTTAAAAGCTTGAAATAGTCCCCTTTCATAGGCATGAAAGTGAATACTTCTGGTAAAAACCATTGTTGGGGTTATTACCCCTTTCTCTGTAGCTTTCACCTTTTCTGTATATAATTCAGGTGAATGAGATGTCATTCCACATCAGCGCCACTGAGTGCTTACACGCAAATAACGAATTTCTTTTTTTAATCAAGTCAAAAGATCAGAATTTGTGACAATCTTCTGCTGAGATTGTTTGGTTTTGAATACAATATAGATGTCAGGCAGTTCCAGTTAAGCCTCTCAGGTTCTCAAAATGTGCCTCATTTACAAAACTATAAATGTAAATGTCAAAATAAGAAATTCTGCATATGCTAGAAGGATACAGTAACCTTGGTGAAAACTAATCTCAAAGCTAGGGCAATGAAACAAACTACTACAGGATATTGTGGAATCACTATAATTGGGGATATTTGAGATTAGAACTGATAATATTTATTAAGGGAAGCATGTGGGAGTAATTAGATCCTATAGTAATGGATAGGATGGAGCAACTGGCCAACTAATGACACTATGAATTATTATTGGTAGCGTTAATGTTGCAGTAGCATGTAAAACGCCCAGTCTGAGGTCAGTTTCTCATTATGCTGAGTAGTAAATGTGAAGTTCATCAAAATGTTTAGGGCTACATTATGGTTGCCCCGATGCTCCTTAGGGAAGGGACCTGTGTAGAGAGCTCCTTACCCACCCCCACATCCCATTGTACATTGGAGATATGGGTGCAGAGGAAGGTTCTCAAGCTCTGGCAATTAATTCTGACCCAGTGTGAGGGTAAATGCATGGCCTTGTCCTTTCCCATCCCTGACAGCTGCACTGCTAGGCTCATACTGCATGCATAGACAGAATGAAGAAAGGATGAGCTCTCCCACCAGTACCTGTGCTGCAGGAATACTACCGCTTCCTATCCACCACCTGGCCCAACCTCGGAAGATGCATGATTGAGTCCTTATAGTTATTTGTTGTATGAATGCAGTGTATGTGTGGACTGTTTTTATCTATGGTTCACAGTAAGAGGATAGTGGAGCAAATAAACAAAAAAGTTATTACAGATAGGGCCAAGTCCTTCACCTAACACACAGAGTATTGAGTCTGTGTGCTAGGAAGGTCAATAGGATTGTCACAGGAAGGAGCTGTCCCTTCCACCCTCAGACTGTTCTGTGATAGCAAAGTCACTGTGTTGGCTACAGTCTTTTCAGTGCTGTAATAGCCCATAGAGCCACAGTTGCTCCTCTTATTACAGGCAAGAATAGCCAGTGAACGTGCATAGTCTTTCTTTGTTTTTATCACACATCCGGCTCCAAGCTCCCATCTCTCAAGCATGCCAACTTCTATGAATTCTCTAAGGGTATGTCTACACTACCCCGCTAGTTCGAACTAGCGGGGTAATGTAGGCATACCGCAATTGCAAATGAAGCCCGGGATTTGAATTTCCCGGGCTTCATTTGCATAAGCGGGGCGCCTCCATTTTTAAATCCCCGCTCGTTCGAACCCCGTGCCGCGCGGCTACACGCGGCACGAACTAGGTAGTTCGAACTAGGCTTCCTAGTTC